CGAATATGGCACTCATTTCTAAATCCAAGATGGCGGACACGAGTTTTGAAATAAATGCAATATGGGTATCATTTTCGAGGTACTTGGGGATGCTCATGACGAATATGGCACTCATTTCTACATCCAAGATTGCGGGCACGATTTTTCAAAAAAATGCAATATGGGTATCATTTTCGAGGTATTTGGGGATGCTCATTACGAATATGGCACTCATTTCTAAATCCAAGATGGCGGACACGAGTTTTCAAATAAATGCAATATGGGTATCATTTTCGAGGTACGGGGGGGTGCTCATTACGAATGTGGCACTCATTTCTAAATCCAAGATGGCGGGCACGATTTTTTCAAAAAAATGCTATGTGGGTATCATTTTCGAGGTATTTGGGGATGCTCAATGTGAATATGGCACTATTTGTAAATCCAAGATGGCGGGCACGATTTTTCAAATAATGGCAAGTTGGGTATCGTTTTCGAGGTATTTGGGGGTGCTCATTACGAATATTGCTTTTGTTTGAACTGTCGTGTTTGCCATCTTGGATTTAGAAATGAGTGCCATATTTGTATTGAACATTCCCAAACATCTCGAAAACGATACCCAACTTGCCATTATTCGAAAAATCGCGCCCGCATCTTGGATTTAGAAATAAGTGCCATATTCGAAACCTAAAACCGAAAATGCCATAAGCAAACATTAAAGAAAATAACTGTTAAAATAGATTAAAAAATCGCTTAAGAATGCTCCCCTTTTAAGAAAATAAAATATTTTAATATAAAATATTTCGCTTGAGTTACGAAAAGAAAGACATATAATAAGCTATCAAAGTTGTACTGGTGGTGCCAACACTATAGTAGAAACAAATATATAAGTACTGTAAATTTGTTGCAATATGTGCTCCAATTCAAATAAAATTAAAATAAATAATTATTCAATAAAGCATGAACGCAGAGCCGTTAAAAGTATTATAAAATAATTAAGTGTCCCAATCACTTACAGGAGTTAACGAAAACATTTAATGTTTATTAAAGTAAATATTAGTTCAAGATGCGCAAATAAATCTAAATTACAGGCACCACTAAAATTTACGTAATATAATTATTTTGATACAGAATAGCAAAATGGGGAGAAAAAAAATTCGTTACTTTGCAATACTTTCGTATCTTGTTGCCGCGAAATTATTTTTCTGTTTTAGTGAATATTTACATAAAAATATGAGTTGAAACGCATTACTTACTTGTGGAATGCGATGTTAGTGTCTATTTTATGTTTGTCTGTTGTATTTTTACACCCATTTACCGCACATTTCGTCATTTTTAGCAAAAAATTTTGGAGCTGTTCGCGGTGCAATATGACCTTGAGCACTAACAGCCCGCGCGCTCCTGGGACGCGTTTGGAACCCTCTAACTTGCCTCACTTAGCGTGTGCGGGCTAGGTTTCTATGCGTTATTATTCTAAGGGTAATACATACTTCTGGAAAATCTGCTCCCTTCTGGCTGAACAAAGAGGCGACCAGCCATCCTGATGTCAGAATGGCTGGTAAAAATTTTTTTTTAATTTCTCAGAATATATCATAGGTAGCAATTATTTAGAAAAGGTAGCAAATAGGTAGCAATTCTTGAATATACACTCAGTTCCAGACGCCACAGGCGACCAGCCATCCAGTCGGTCACCAGAACTTCATATTATCAACCTATGAATATACATAAATATTCATAGGTATAATAACCTCGTGGAAGAATGGTGAACTGCATTAGAAAAGTATCATCTTATTTTTTAGAGTAAGCATTTGGTAACAAATCTAGCCTCATACTTGTTAAATTTTCCGTAAACCTGACATTTTTTATTGCAGTTGATCTAGAAGACGTAAAACGAGAATCGCTTGAACAGAAGATCGACGAACTTAAAGAGTCGATTTACTTGAACAATAGAGATCAAGAGATGATTAAAATGGTTCGCAAATCAGATTAATATGGTGACCATTAACACAATAGTTATCTACCTGTTAAGATTGTTAATATAACTTATGAGTGATTGACATCCATTCAAATGAAATAGCAATATATACCTAGATTGTGCCTATTCTAATGACAAGTATAACTTTTTTTTTCAGGAGAATCAAACAATGCGCAATATTTTGACAACAACGGAAAAGGAATACGAACGTCGTGTGGAACAAAAACTGAAACTGGAGAACGAAATATTGGAGAATTTGCAGGAATGCCTGCTCAACGATAAAGCAGTGGAATCAATGGCACAAGGGATAAAAAACATGAGAGACATGTCGAGGAAATTGGTAAAGCTAAACAATTAAATATTTATTCACTGATTATCGTGACGTTTTACTACCATGATTTTGATATATTTTCCGGGAAAATATTCCACTAATTTCTTATTATTATTTTTTAATAATAATAACGCACACACTCAACATAGCCCCGCACTTGAGAAACCCTGTGTCGTTGGTGTCATGGACACACATAGACAACTATACTGTCGCCGTAAGTTGAAAGGGCGCATATGACACTTTTTCAAAAAATGCGTTAATGATCAGCGAAAAAAGACAAATCTGCCACAATTTTATTTTTTTCCTAGATGGATTTTTTTATAGTTGTTTCGCCCTCACGAAATTTACAAAGGTTACGGAAATGGTCATTTCATAAACAAAGAGCATAAACTTGGAATGGGCTTTTGTTACACAATTTCTCGGCATAAAACTAAATGGCAGGAAACACTATTTATTGCTTTATGAGGAAAGGTACTGTTTAAGAAATGTAACAAGAGCCGGTAAGAACAACAAACGCTAGATGCCAATAAGCAAGATGTGCGCATTGACAAAACGGTGGGTGGTAAAGAAAGTTTAACAAATAGGGCTCTAATGTAGCCACACCCTTTAGAACAAAGAGAATTTCGGTTATTGGTCAAGTTAGGAACCGTTTGCACGAAAACGGGGATGGTGAAGTTAATGGAGAGGGAAATCGGAAACCGGGGCGAAAACCTAGCTTTTCGGGACGCGGAGTCAGGCCTCGACTCGGAGACGGTCTAAGATAGGCTCTTTATCTTTTATTTATAGAATTTAAGTAGTTAATTGGATCCTGTTTATAACGCAATGTGGAGGTTAGGTTTCCTCCTATTTCGCAACGTTTGTCGCGAGCGCGGAGACTACACATCATCCAATTCCATATTTATATGTATTGTTAAATATGTATATTTGCTCAACTAACTATGTCTAGGGTTTTCCTTTCCTAGGGGCGAGGGGCGGAGTGCTGACTTTGTCTTATTTTATCATCACATTTTTTCTTTAGAGGCGGCTAAATCATTCTTAATTTCTTAATTGTACAATTTTGCCAGTTTTCATGATTTAATTGTTGTTTATCTATTAGTAATTTTAGAACATTATCGACGGAGTTGTTCATGGCGTGAAGCTGCATTGATTAGTTACAGTGCTAATGAACTGGGAGTTAGTGATAATTTGATATATATTTTCTCTACCTGCTTGCTTTTAAATGATTTATAAAGTAGTGTGACACTGTGTTTTCAGTGACAAGAGGAAGAGTGGTTCTATCTCATAATTAAATCTCCTCCGCTCTGCCTAATGTTTCGCTGTAAGCACTACGTCACAAGTCGTACGCTTTTGTGACTCGTTTTTGTCAACCAAGAGAAATTAGTAGGTTCAACTTGCGCTCTACAGACACACGCACGCACGCACGCACGCACGCACGCACGCACTCACGCAGGCACGCACGCACGCACGCACGCTCGCCCGCACGCATGCACGCACGCAAGCACGCACGCACGCACGCACGCACGCACGAACGCACGCACGCACGCATGCACGCACGCACGCACCCATGCACTCACGCACGCACGCTAACACACCGCGGGAAGGTTTTCTGGCTGAGACTAGCTCCTGGACAAACTGGACAGCATTACATCACGTCACGTACGCAACGTCGATGCGCACGTCGTCCGCTCCTAACTCGGATCCTTTACATGCACTAGGTACACACACAAGGCCTGAGCCATTTGGGTGTTTATAACTTTAATCAGTGGTCTCTGAGGTATGTCGTCTCGGCTATAGACAACTCCTGACCCTCTGCGTCTTGTGTGAAGTCTGGTTAGAGCTGTAACCTTATGTAAGGAGATCACAGAATGGTAACTGTTAGACGCACTTAAATGGTATTCAGACTACCTTGCACAACTCATCATCACCCTCTACTTCTTGACACAAACATCCGCGGCTGCTTTCGAAATAGGGAAGCGTAGTTAAATAGCAGCGCGTAAATGCAGCGCGTAAATGCAAAGCGTAACTTGCATGTTTATTTTATTTATAGAATGTGAATGAATGATTTTGTATGGGGCGCGTAAGGGTATAAACGAGACTTAGGCATTATACAAGGTCGATTAGCTGTCTGAAGGCTTTGTTGGGTGTGAGGATCGGGGTCTCAGGTTGACCTTCTAACGAACCTCATACAGGACTGGCTGTAAGGGTGCTGGGAGGCCAGGTATCGTTTATCAAATAGGTGCCCCATCTAGACTTAAATGTCTTACCCTAAAGGTCTCTTTGAAGTCGGGTTTCTCCCGTTATCGGTATAGGTCATCTGCTGTTCAATGGATTGCCGAGATCCACTGGAGTAACTGGGCATATTTTATTTATGTTGTATTTACATATATACTAACTTAATTAATATTTTATTGTCTCTCA